CTTTTCTGTCCCATAGAGAATAATACCATATGCAGAGTTTGAGCAATGAGCATGGATAAATGTTTAGAAGACACCTGTTGTGGCTTTCCAAATGGTACTTATATCATATACTTTATTTTGGTTTTGTCCAGATCTCTTTAAAACTCACAATAATATGTGGTCGATGGTCAAGAAACCAACACAATCTGCTGTTAAAGCCTCCATAGTCTAGCTGAAACCTACGTGTCTTTTAAATATTTATCTAAGCATGAATACCATTTTATACTTCGGAGTATTTAAGATTATTCAGAATAGTAAAACTGCATGTTTTTAAAAATCCCTCAGGACTTTTACATTCCAGTGAAAAATAGGTCACTGCTCATAAAACAAAATTTTGTAACCAATGCACATAGTATAATCTTGTGTGACTTCCTAATGGATTTTGTCCTACCGTTTCCCAAGGGCTGAAACTATGGTACGCAAGGCCATAGGCTCTTGGACGGCAGCTGCTTGACTTCCTTCCTTGTATTCTAGTGGGATAGAGAGCATGCAAGGGAACAGGAACGTGGTGTGTAGTTTTTTCTTTATGTACTTTTGATTTGTTTTAAAGTTTTTAGATTTGACTGTAAATATGTTTCTCAATTTTCATTTGATTTTGGTAAATATGCTTTATGGTGTATGATATTGGCATGGTAATATTTTGTGCTATATGAATTTCTAAAGCCTGGACTTTACAGTATCTTTGAGCTTAAAGAGAATGATTGAAGTTGAAAAAAGGAATTAATTGTTACACGATGCATAGGTGTGGAATGTGGATAAAAAAATCCATATTCTGTACTGCCAAATTATTACGAAAAGCTGTCTGTCTGCAGGCTAACAAGTGATGGCTTGACGTGCCAAAGACTGGCAGAAATGTGCTCGGCTGGAGGAAATAGCAACACAGGGCAAGGGGGGGAAGGGGAAGAGAGGGAGAAGAGAGTAGAGGACGAAGAGGGCACAGGGCAGAAGCTCTGTGCCGAGGAGTATGCCCGTCTGGCCAGGGACGGCATACAGCTCATGCTGAATAACAAATTTACGGAAGCTGAGGAGCTCTTCCGCCACCACACCCACGAGAACCTCCACATGGCTATGGGATACTGCTACCTCACGTTCATGGTATGTTGTTGCTCTTTACCCGATCAAGTGTTTATTTTTCTCCCCTCTTGCCATTGCTTAAGAAATGGCTTTTCTACAAAAATAAGTGACACAATTTGCTAGCTAGGAAATATTCATTTGCTAGTGGAGTTGGTAAATAAATGGATTTTAGTTTTCCAGAAAGCAGTTATGACCAGTTTTACTATATGGAGGCATTGCATTACTTGTATGCAATAAAAAACAAAGGATGAAAGAATTCTGAATGAAGCATTAAAAGTTGTGTTTTTCATTTAAGTGTATTATTTACAGAATGCTGTTATGTCCTTTGAGGAGGAGAAAGTCAGTCACAGCATGGAAACACTACGTAACATGGAGAGAAGATGTGGAGGAGGAGAGAATGGATGGTTCTCGTCTGTCAAGAGCATTGTCATGGGCTCTAAAAACGGCCAGGACCAAGTATGTTGTTTTTTTATTAATGTTTTTTTATTTTCAGATATTAGTAATGGCAGCAGAAATGAGATGAAACTATAGATTCTGTGCACACAAACACACACCTGTTGATGAGTCTTGTTTCATTTTATTTTTCCCTAATTAAAATGCCTTTCTTCCTTTTAGGATGAAGAACCTGGGTCACACTTAGAGCAACAGGTAGTTCTTGCCGACTGTCAAGTCCTGTTAGCGATACTCACCTTCCTTCAGCAAGAAATTGGTTCTTATGTAAAAGGGGGTTGGGTTCTGCGTAAAGCTTGGAAGGTTTACGAACACTCGTACTCCAAGGTTAAGAGAATGTACAAGCAGACATTTGGTGAATCCCAGGAAGCACCAGGTAAAGGTGAATGGAGTGACATGCTTTTAGCAGACGTCCTACATGGAAAATGTTGTGACGAGATCCTTTACTATATTTCTGCTTGTGTGAATCTCATTTGAAGTGTTCAGTCATTCCCACACTATTCCAGGAACACCAAATGGAGAATACCCTGGCTATATACATGTAAGTACTGATGAACTACAGAGCCCAGGATCCTGGTCGATTGGCTCCACAGGGGTGCCTGGCCCTGCAGATGAAAGCCCAAAGTCTGGCACAACCCCAGCCGCGGCTCCCAGTTTAGGAATTCGCATTCCATTATCAAAATCAGTGCCCAATCTGAAGGGATTTCTCAACTCAAATCACAAGCAGCAAACCAAAAAGTAAGTTTTGTTATTGTTCTTATTACTGTTTTTGTTTTGTAGAGAGAGAATTGAAAAAGATAAATATTTCTGAGTAATGATGATAGGCCGTATTAAATTGTATTTTAGTTTATCTTGATTAACCCATTGCCGCTGGATGATTTTCTGATGTGTAAACCCTCCATCTTGGATGGTATTAACAGCAGACTGGGCCCAGCTG